ATGCAATTATTCTTGCATGGCCTCTGTCCAGCTTTCATAAGAGATAGCTTCTTCAATCCTTTTGGGTTCTTGTTGAGATATGAGAGCGAATGAATTTATCATATTTTGAGTGCAGATCTGGTCTTGATTCCTTCATTTATGCTTTCAATGATTTGTTTTTTGGGATGCTCGGTTTTGTATCTCTAGTCTTTGAGAACTGTGTTTTGCTTGGAAACATCAGCATTTTGGTGCTGTTGTTGTTGCCTATTGGTGGAAGAAGACAAGAGCATGACTTCATCATAATCATTTGCTTGTATCTCCTTTTGATTGTCTTTGAACTCCACATTTATGGATTCTTCAACTACCTGTGAATCTTTATTGAACACACGATAACCTTTACTAGTAGTTGAGTATCCCAGAAAAATACCTTCATTTGCACAAGCATCAAATTTCCCAATGTTTTAATTCTTATTTTTAAGAATGAAGCACTTGCAACCAAAAACATGGAAATATGATATATCGGGTTTTCTGCCTTTGAAAACTTCATAAGGAGTCTTTTCCATCAATGGTCTTAATAGTACCCTGTTCAACATGTAACAGGTGGTAGCAACTGCTTTAGCCCAGAAGTATGTAGACGTACTGCTTTCAATCATCATGGTTCTGGCCATTTCTTGTAGAGAGCGATTTCTCCTTTCAGCAACTCCATTATGTTGAGGGGTGTATGCTGTGGAGAAATTGTATTCTATTCCACATCGCAATAATCATCAAACATTTGATTCTCGAATTCTACTCCATGGTCTATTCTGATTGTTGAGATGCTGTATCCCTTTTCATTCTGGCTCTTTCGAGTAAATTTCTCAAATGAATGAAATGCTTCATTCTTGTGAGATAGAAACATTACCCAGGTAAACCTTGAGTAATCATCAACAATTACCAAACAATATCTTCTTCCTCCTAGACTCATGGTCCTTATAGGTCCGAATAGATCCATGTGCATAAGCTATAAAGATCGGTGAGTAGCAACTGTGTTTATTGATTTACAAGATGATCTAACCTGCTTTCCCAAAGTATAGGCATTGCATGAATCACTTTTGTCGAAGTTGATTTTTGGGAGACCATGCACTAGATCCTTTGATGAGATCTTAGAGATTTGCTTAGCATTGATGTGTCCAAATTTTTTGTGCCATAGATCACATTCATCCTTGATAGACATTAGACATTGAACATTATCAAAATTCACATTTCGTAGATAGATGTTGTTATACCTTTTACCCGTGAATGATTGGGATCTGTCTTGACTTACACCAATACATTTTCACCCGAACCACACACCGCCCCACGATACGCCAAACGTCAAACGGCATGAGTAAAAAAATCCGACATTAAAATTAGAACACGGGAAAAACCACCAACATATATTCACTTAAATATTTACACACCGCCAAACAAACCACAAAAAATTTATACACAAACTATAACAAACCACCAAAATCAAGATCAGCCAAGCCATCCCCCAAATTTGTGAAACAACCAGAGATCACATCTCAATAAGTCACAACCTAAGCCCCACCTAGGCTATCACGTAATTCCGCATACATCCAAACGCGCAACCAAACAACCAGACAACCAGCAATCGAACATTCACACATACCTGGACTCTCTCGCATACGCACCATGCACGTTAGCCCACAATCCCAACATACAATTCTTGCACACATGCCATCACACACTTTCCACGTATCAATACACACGCCAATCATACCACAAAGAGACATCACAAACGCGCGCGTGCTCGATTATAAAGCAAAACCTACTTGGGCACGTCCCATACCATGCCTAGCAGATTTACCCCATAATCGCGCACCGCATCACGCGATACAAACACACTCGCACACTAACTCACACCATGCATCACTTTCACAATCCTCACATGTCAAGCCAAATCCCGCTCATTCTCAACCTTTCCACCACTACCGCGCCCGCGTAAAACGCATCGCCAACGGTCTTCCCGACCTCGCCGGCATCGTCACCCGGCCGGGCCGGCATCGTCACCTCGTCGGGGACGGCATCGTCCGCGTAAACGAACACGCCTCAGGCGGAATCCTACACACACTTTCCTTCTACCGCGCCCGCGTAAAACGCATCGTGCCAACGGTCTTCGACCACGCGGGCATCGTCACCCCGGCCGGGCCGGGCATCGTCACCTCGTCGGGGACGGCATCGTCCCCGTAAACGTACACGCCAGGACGGATCCTTTCCAACCAATTCCACATTTCCGTATCCTCGTTCCACTCAAACCGCACTTACACACGGTCAAGTCACACGACCAAACATACACACCTCACACGCATTCATAGCCACGCACCAATTCACATCTCATGTACACTTCACAAACACACGTTCTCGTCATACGAATACACCACACGACCGTACACATTTAACACGCGAATTCAATGCGCATTCACACTACCACACCGCCACACCTCACGGCCACATACACACGGCACACAGCCACGCCATATTCAGCCCACGACAACCAAATACCAGCCTTCATCTCAGCCCCCAAAACAGCCACATAAACCCCTAAATCGAACCCTAAACAGTGACCGAAATCCCATCAAAATAAATAGTAAACGAACTCCAAAATTCTAAAATTTGGACACGTTGCGTAAAACATCTTGCTGAACATTTTCCGTGGAGAACTCGAAACTTAGTTCCAACTAGAAACACCTCTTTTGGTCACTTGAAGTCAGACGAAAATCAACTCGCTCCAACAGACCGTTTTGTCCTCAAAATGCATTTATTTCAACACCCCAATTACCTTGAAAAGCTTTGAAATTTTTATATGTTATAAACACGAATGTACCCAACAACTTTTGTGAAGGAAGTATTTTGAAAATAGGCCTGGAAAAATTTATAAAATTTGAACAGACCCGAAGGTCGGATGAACAGTAAATCGGGCAGTTTTATTTCGGCCCAAAGATGGACTTCCGAATGGCATAAAATGATTTCCAAAAATTCCCAAATTAAAATATGTCATACTTCAAGATGTTGGCAACAACTTTTCATGAAGAAACCTTCCTCAAATTCGGCACTCAAAATTCTCTACAAAAATAGAAAACCGGGTGGGTACAGTAACCGCGAATCCGCGATTCACCCCGAACCTCACGGATTCAAGCCCGAACCGATTTCTACCGAATTCCAACCGCCAAAACTCATTTCCCGACATCTAATCCAACCCGCAACAACCACTAACAGCCATACTCGGCCACCAATAGCCATGATTAACCACCAATAACCATGATCAACACCTTAATCAACCTCTAATCACCCCAAACCGCACCCAAACGAGTCCGAAAAATACCCGACGTCCTAGGCGAGGTTTAGGGAGCGACTTACCGGACTCTAGACTAACTCGGCTAGAGCGGCAAGGGGGACGGCTGGCCGGCGGCGATCGGCGGTGGCGGCTTGCTCCGGCGATGCTCGCGATGATCGGCCGTCCAAGGCCGAGAGAGATGAGAGGATTTTGGTGAGGAGAGAGGAGAGAGTTCTCTGTTGGGGGGCTGCCGTGAGAAGAGAGGGAATGAGGAGAGAGAGAGGAGAGAACAATTAAATATTTGGTCCAAGGTTTGACCAATTTTTTCTTAATTCCAATTTTGCCCCTAAAACACTTGGTCCACATTCTTCCAAACCAAAATATCTAAGGCCTTTTTGTCCAATATTTTGGGGCTGATATTTATCCACACTTAATCCCCAAATTCAATTTCCAAAATCCCCAAAATTCGAATACCCAAAAATAGGCCTAGGGGCAAAATCGTAATTTTCCGGTCCCGGCGAAATTCCAATTTTCGCACATATGGGTTCCATATGTGGCCAACATAATATGGCGTCGAATCGCGAAATTCACTTTCTAAGTCCTCGAAAATCGATCGCGAAGTTCCGGAATAAAATAATATTATTTTTCCAATTTTTGTCGAAATTCTAATTTTGGCCGTAACCACTCCAAATATGCGTGGCCACTCTAAAATGACCTTGGCCTCGAAAAATAACCTCAAACGACCTCAAAATCCAACATCGGTGTCCATAGGGGCAAAACAGAATTTTTCCGGCCCTGACCAAATCTATTTTTTTGCGTAAATGGGTGGCCCCAAGGTTGGCCAAGCCGAAACGTCATCGGCCGCTCAAAATTGTCACTTTCAAAATTCTCGATTCGCCAAAAATCGATATCCGTGTACTTATCTCGCTAGGTCATAGATTACGCCTCACCCGTGAGACACTAAGTCAAATCACGTACTAACCAAGATTGTGACCTAATCCTTTAACTAGTGAAACATCTTTAATGATAAGATTTCATGCGAACTAATCCGTCTACCCCTAAGATGTTTCCTTTACCAATGATTCTTCCTTTATCTTTTCCTCCTCAGAATGTCCGACAATCGTTAACTAGTGCATCTCCATCTAAGGTTCTTCCTTTGTCTTTTCCTCGACGAGACTCCATATAAACTTGAAACTATCTCCTATCATGTGCCTTGAGCATCCATTGTCTAGATACCACTTGTTTTTCTTCAAAATTACCGTAGAGAGAGAGATGCTCATCTTTTCTTTGGTACCCACTTAAACTTGGGTCCTTTAGTGTTAGATTTAAAAACATCATCAAATCTTCTGTGAACCTTTTTGGGCATCATCAGCTTGTTTGGACATTTTAATTTAAAATGACCATATTCATTGTAGAGTGAGCAATCAGGAAATTGCTTGCCAGAGACTGTAGTGAAGTGTCTTGCATAATGATTCTTATAAAGATGTGCAGGAGGTCATTTAGCCAATCTTTCTTTGTATTTGGGAAAAGGATTCTTCTCATCTTTATTTTCCTCATGTCCTAAACCACATTTATTGTGGTGAGGAATCTGAATCGAGAGAATGTGCTTCAAGTTTTATGAACCGAGAGAAAACTTAGTACTAATTTTTGAAATTTCTTCTTTGAGAGAGTCATTATCAACTTGAGAAAGTTTAACTTCCTTTTCTTAGAGGTCATAGTCCTTTTTCAAGTTGTCAAATGCAATCTTGCAAGTAAGTTTTTCTGTGGTAAGATCTAGTACTTCCTTTCTCACAATAGAAATTCTTTTTAAAGCCTTTCTATATTCATCAAACATTTCCTTTAAGAAGTCCTGTATTTCTTCATAAGAAAGTTCAGGCTGAATTACCTCATCTTCTTCTTCATGATCCGAGTCGGCCATCAAATAGAGGTTTGCTTCTTCTTCGTCGCTGGTTTCGCATTCTGATTCACTCCATGTTTCAGTGTTCAGTGCTTTCTTCTTCTTCTCATACTTTCCTCTCTTCTTTTTGAGCAATGGGCAATCTGGCTTTATGTGACCTAGTTTTCTGCATTCATAACAAACAAGATCTCTACCTTTGAGTTCTTCCTTGCTCTTCTAGAATCTTCTTTCCTCAGGAGTCGTTTGCCTTTGAATTTTCCTCCCTTTTTCATAAGGTTGTTAAACTTTCGAGTGAACAGTGCCATGTCTTCATCATCACGTTCATGCTCAGATGACAATATATCACCTGCATCATTATTGTTAGCTTTAAAGGCTATGGCTTTCTTACCTTTTGAGCTACCTTCCTCGATTTGCTGCTCTACTTCATCGGATGGGAATGTTCCAATCAGTTCTTCCAATGTGATTGGTTGAATCCTCGTTGTTTCTCGAACTGAGGTTTTCACATTGTTCCATTCTTTTGGTAAGGCTCTCAGTAGTTTGTTCACTTTTTCTCCATTGGTGAATATTTTTTCTTGATGTGCAAGGCCATTCACTATGTCTGTAAATCTGTTGAACATTTGAGCTACTGTTTCATCTGATTTCATCTTGAAGAGCTCGTATTGTCTAAGAAAGATGTTTAGCTTCATCTCCTTTACTCTATCAGTCCCTTCGTACGTGAGTTTCGGTAGATTCCAGATTTCTTTAACTGTTACACATGTGCAAATTTTGTTATATTCAGTCATAGATAAAGAGTAGTATAGAAGATGTTTAGCTTTTGCATTATGTGCTGCTCTTCTTCTTCGTGTTTCCTCTGCGTTATGTGCCGCGGGAATATTGGTAGTAGCATTCTCTTCTGGAACTTCTTGATCAGTTCTTTGTGTAGTAGTAGGTGCAAGTACTTCCACGCTACGTTGGATCACGTCCCATATTTCAAGATCAGTTGCTTCAAGATATGCTTACATTATGTTCTTGTAGTAACTGTAATTGCTTCCATCAAAGTAAGGCAGCTTGTTAGGAGCAAGAACATCACTAGTACTAAAACCACCAAAGTTAGCCATAAGAGAAGATCTTTATACTCAGAAGAAATACTCTTCTCAAGATGAGCAACTAGGCTCTGATACCAATTGTTGGGACTAACTATGCAAGCTAAAGGGGGGTGAATATGTTGCTTTGAAAGATATTATAGTTTTTGTGGAAAATAGCATGTAACAAAGAGATATTGGAAAACACCAGATATATGAGAAACAATGTATCACTTGTATGCTAGAGATGATAAACAGAAGTAAAAATAGCTGCACACTAGGATATATAGTGGTTTGGCTTTATCCTCAAGCCTACGTCCACTCTCACCACTAACAACCACAAGTTGGGCTAGATTGCACTAGTAATTTGCTGATCAAGTTACACTTTAGCAAGCACCACTCCTATTAGATTGTAGATCACACTACCAGGAGGTGGATGCTGCTATCACTTGGTACACTTGAAACTTCAACACAATTACAATGCAGCAAGTGCTTCGACAAACATGAGCTTTTTCTCAGTACACAGTAAGTAAGAGATTTCAGAATTCTTTGTAAACACATACACTCTCACTTGTTGGCTTCAGAGACCTTCTCTTTTATGGGCATCTTCAAACTAGTCGTTGCTGATGTCCCAGAGAGGCAAAGTAGCCATTAGAGTTGTTGGAGCTGCTATCCTCGGAACTGATTGCCCATACAGCCTATTCCTGAACTTCTTTAGACTTTCCTGAAATAGCTTCTGCTGTTTTACTGTAGCTGCGATAATGACTATCTGTTAGAATGACTCTTCTCCTTTCTATCGGTTTTCTGCTGTGCCTGTCTAGTCCCAACGGCTACTATAGTGACATAACGGTCATATTAAATGAACCGTTACTTAAACATCACCAATTACTAGATCTCTTCAGCTTGAACAAGACATCGTCATTTAGCTGATCTTTGAGATTGATGGTGCTGTTTACACGATCCTTCAAGGATAGTCTTGTGATCTTCTCTTCAATGAATAACATTATGATTATCACTCAGTCCTTTGAATATGTTTGCACTTAGATATTGTAGTTATTATACAAAGGATAGTTTGGGTATCATCAAAATCATTTAGAGATGTTTCTCCAATATGTGCTTGGTATTTATATTCCTCGATTTAGTTATTTCCTGTTAGGCTTGCACAAGAGGGGAGATTGTTTTGTTCTGCTATACTAATCCAATATTGTTCGGATTGCCATTGTTCTCCCATCAAAATGGTATCAGAGCATTGGTTCTTGCTTGATTTTTTTGCCTTGTGTTAAACGATGGAAATGAATACGAGTAGAATGGTTCGAATTATCATGTTTGGAAAGGAAAAATGGAAGACCTTTTGTATGTGAAGGATAATTATTTTCTCATGTTTGCTGATGAGAAACTCGAGAATAAAACTGATGCTGGATGGACTATATTTCATCATCAAGTGTGTGGTTACATTAGGCAGCGATTCAAATTAGTTACACTTTCACTTTCTTGCTCACTTATAAATACATATGCTTTTGAATGCTCTGAGTGTCTTATGAATGTACTCTTTTTGCCTCTTGGACCCAATTTGTCATATTGTGAGAGGGCTCGTGAATATAGGCAGCCCAACCCCAAGGTTTAAGAAAACTTAAATCGGGTTTTCTACCTGTCTATAATTTATATGGAGTAGAAGTAACTGATTTAGAAGACACAGGTTAAGTATATAAGCAGCAGTAAATAAAGCATCACCCAAAAGGTGATCGATAAGTTAGTGTGACATTCTGAAATCTAACCCACTTGGGATTTATGAAATGGATGATTTTATGAACGTACTTGTAGTTAGATCTCGTCCGGAACTGATCATTCCTGGGATACTAACCGTTAGGGAAAGGCTAATTGGAGATTTAAATTCGCGAGATCAAAGAAACTCGATCGTGAATTGACTTTCGACCATAGAATTGTCGAGGTGACATTTTGAGCCAATGTAGGCCGATCCAAGGATAGTTAGGGATCAATTCGCCGCTATCATATTAGTGGATCACGGGTGATTCCGCTTGACCACGAGATGAACTGACGAATGACCCTAAACCTATACCAAACGATCGCGCCCGTCGAAACTAGCAATTGATCCTCGCAATTAAGTGACAAAAAAGCCATCCGTTAGTCTGAGATATGCTCAAGTCACGTTATTTAAAATTTAGTCATTAATTAGAGACCGAGTTGGGCATTGAAAATTTAGAAAGTCACGATAGAACATTTGGACGACGTTGTTATTGGCATGATCAGCCTTAGAATCATCTGAATCCCTCAGAAAAATCGAATTTCGGCAAAAAATGGAAAATGACCATTTTACCCCTAAAAGTTTGTTAAGACCAAGTGTAAATGGGGAAGGGCATTTTGGTCATTTCACCCTCACTTTAGAAATGACAATTTTTGGACAATTTGCCCTTGGACTTTTTGTGAAATTCCCATTTTACCCTTGGATATTTTGGAAAAGATTTGATCTCAATCGTTGATCTCAAGATAAGAACGAATCGTGGCCGTCGATTGAAAAGTAGAGAGAGGGGCAAGATGGTCATTTTGCCAAAAGGGGGACAATTATTGGGTTATATAAACCCTTTTCTCTCTCTCTCCCTCTCATTTCTCCCTCTCTCACGGCTCACTTTCTCTCCCCTCCCCCACCGGCTGACCGTCCCCTCTCCCCTTGGCCGTACCGCCGCTGTTGCCGATCGCCGCCGTTTAGCCGGACCGCCGTAGCCGCCGCATTCCAGCCACCTTGTCGCCCTTGGATAGGTTGTGCTTGCTTGGAAATTTCAAGTAAGTTACAATCTAAACCCTATTTAGGATATCGGGTATTAATGGACTCGTTTAGACGCAGTTTAGGGTAGTTTAGGGGTTGATTAGGGTGATGATCGTGGTTGTTGGTGGCTGATCATGGCTGTTAGTGGCTGTTGCATGTTGGATTAGACATTTGGGAATGAGTTTTGTGGGTTGGAGATCCATGGGTGTGAGCTAGAACTTGAATCTTGATTGTTTAGTTCAAAACTCGGATTCGTGACTACTGTACCCATCCGACTTGCTATTTTTGTGGAGAATTTTGTGGGCCGAATTTGAGGAATTTTTCTTCATGAAAGTTTCTCCCAACATCTTGAAGTATAACATATTTTAAATTTGGAATTTTTGGAGGCCATTTGGGTCGTACGAAAACCCATTTTCAGACCGTCTTAAAACTGCCCAGAACACTGTTCATCCCGACCTTCTTGTCTTACCGAATTTTTATAAAATTTTCCAGATCTATTTTCAATAAACTTCCTCCACAAAAGTTGTTGGAGATTTTCTTTTCTATGACATATAAAAATTTCAAAGCTTTTCAAGGTGATTTTGGTGTTAAAAGAAATGTATTTTGTGGACAAAACAGTCTGTTAGAGCGAACTGATTTTGGTCTGGTTTCGAGGGACAAAAAAGCATGGTTACAGATTAAATCGGATTTTGTGTTTTTCATAAGAAATGTTTATCAAGATGTTTTTTATGATATATCCAAAATTTAGAATTTTTGGAGTTCGTTTACTATTTATTTTGATGGGATTTCGGTCACTGTGTAAACTGCCCAGATTTACCCTGATTCTATGGATGTTCATTTTTATGAGCGGAATGGTGGGGGTGTCGAGGTTGAATAGTTGCTGCCCTCGTGACTGGAATTGATGCTTGAATGTGTGTTTGTATGTTCTAGGGGCTGAATTGATATGGTTGAATTGGGTGCATTTGGGTGCATTTAATTAATGTTCGAGTATGTGAACGTGTGAGATTTGAGGTGTGTGATGTGCGTGTGATCACTAAAAAGCCCTGAGGCGTGTTTACACGGGGTATAGATAAAATATGGTGTGTTGGCATGTTCGCGTGATCACTTAATCCCTGATGCGTGTTTACGCGGGGAATTGAACCGGCTTGAGGCGTGTTTACGCGGGTCGTGATACGAATGTGGGGCCTGAGGCGTGTTTGCGCGGGCCGTGGAAAGAGATTGAAAGTGAAATGTGTGATGTGGCAAGTGAGAATGTGATCGGGCCTGAGGCGTGTTTACGCGGATCGCGATAGGAATGTGGGGCCTGAGGCGTGTTTACGCGGGCCGAGGAAAGAGATGGAAAATGAAAATGGTGTGGTAGTGCATGAATGAGTGTGAAATGTGGGGTTCGGAATTGTTGTGTGTATGACATGTGCTTTTGGGCATGAGAATGGCTTGAAATGTGCATGTGGTTTGAAATTCGTGTATTTGAGACTAATGTGCAGGTTGAGCCCAGGTAAGTCCATTTGTGTGTGATATGTATGTATTGAGTGATTGTGTGTTTGGACCTGTCTGGAGATACGTGGTAGCTTAAGTGGGGTTTAGGCTGTCAACTTATTGAGAGTTGTCTCATGGTTGTTTAACCAAATTATTTCAGAACCCCGCCCTGAGCCATGAATCTACCGCCACCACCGCCCCAGCGTTTTAGTATCCCTATGCACATCGACCATGCAGTAGTAGAATACCCTATAGATAATCCGATCGAGATTGAGGCAGATTCTGAGTCGTCAGAGGAGCAGGTGAATCAGGGGGAGTCAGATTCAAGTTCAGAGGAGACCGACTCGGACTGGACACCATCTAGAGTTCGTAGGGGTTAGCTGAGGGTAGGGTGATCATTTTTTAAGTACCTTTTTTTGGAGTTGTTGACGTAATCCGGAGAAGCCAGTTTTTTTTATGTGTATTATAGGTTGATGAAATTTTGGTGAGTGCTCGAAGTGACTAATGATTGTGTAATGGACGAGAATGGATATTGTGTGTGTGTATATATATATCGAGGTGTAATGTTATGTTTGGTGGTTTGGCGAATTATCTCTCCCTATTACCCCATGATTTTATTATCAGGGTTTATGTTCTTGTTTCCGCCGTGTGCAAGCTCTGATGTGATCGTTTGAGGTCGGCGACGTTTCCTGGGTCGTCGCATTAATTCGACCAAAGAGGGATGTCGCGAGCTCGATAGGGTTCGGGGCGTGACAGTTAGCTTGTGAGATTATGACCTAACCATTTTCGGTAGGGTTATGCTTCTCCTCTCTGTAACACCATTTTATTGATAAGTATATGAAATAGAAAATTGTCTTTCTATTCTTTTTTCATCACATAAATTTCTGAACTCATCGAATAAATATTCTCAACCTCGATTGGATTTTAATACTTTTATTTTCTTGTCCAATTGATTTTCTACCAAGCTCATAAATTGCTTAAAACAACTTAATACCTCAAATTTATGAGAAATCAAATAGACATGTTCGAATTGAGTATAATCATCTATAAATGTGATGAAGTATACGGCCCCATGCCTTGCTCTTACATTCATTTGACCACAAATGTCCGAATGAATTAATTGCAAAGGAAACTCAACTCTTGTTCCTTTTTCAAATGGTTTCCGTGTTATTTTCCCGCTAGGCAATGCTCGCAAATAGGCAAATCAACTTTTTTAATATTGCCCAATAAGCCCTCTTTAACTAATCTATTCATTCGTTGTTGGCCAATATGACCAAGTCTAGCATGTCATATATTCACACCATTCTCACAAGAGTTGAAAGATGTAAATAAGGAAGAACAAACATTAACATCACTGCAGTCGATATTCAATGCAATAAAACCATCTAGAAAATATCGAGAATCATAATAACTTGTTCCCAAAGACAAGTCAACACAATTGTTATGAAAGTTCAAATTAAAACCAAGCTTAACTAAAACCAACACATACTAAATTCCGACGAACTTTTGGAGCATATAATACATCTTGTAGGGACAAGGTGTGATAACCATGTTTATTCAATTGGCAGGTGTCAATCCCTTTGACTTCCACTTTGGAATTGTTCCCCATATATATCCACTTTGCTTCTTATGGAACTTGTCAGAACTCTACGAAGGTATCTCTATTCTTCGCTACATGGTTTGTAGCCCTTGAGTCTATAGTCCACAAAGGATGAGATTCAGTTACCAAA